TCCCCTTCGGCTCCCCTAATTAACATGCCCAGTTAAAAGTAAACACCTTATCCTAACACAGGGGTTCCCTTTTTACCATTATAAACCTCCATTTGCCTACAGGCCACATCTGTCTCCTCCCTATCCAGAGGCAGTCCTTTGTCCCTGCAGGACACATACCCCTGATCCCTCTCCCTTGTTCCCTTCCTTTTCTTCTTCTTTCTCCTGTGTTTCTCCCTTATCCCTACCCTCGGGGGACAAAAACAATCTCCTTTCTGCTAAGAACTTGGTCTTGGAGTATCTTGAGCTGATACATTCACCTCAAAAGATCTGGATTGAAGCTTTATCTCCCCATCTCAAAAATCCCAATTAGAACTGGGTCTTGCCACTTCAAATGACTTAGTTAAGAAAAACAAAGCAAACAAATAACAAAAAAGACCCCACAGGTATGCCTAGCCATTTGGGTTTTAGCTAATTACAGATGTCCTCAAGTTGACAACCAAGAAGAGCTGTCACACCCCCATAGGCTCACATATTTGGTTGGTTGGTGCCCCGTGGGTAGAGCTGATTGGGGATGATTAGGAGGTATGACTTTGTTGGAAAGAATGTGTCACTGGGGATAAGCTTCCAGGTTTCAAAAGCCCAACCCGGGCCCATTCCCTCTTCTTCTGCCATATGTTTGTGGATAAGATAGAGGCTATTGCTCCCGTGCTATACCTGCCTGCTTGCTGTCATGTTCTCCACCACGACGGACGTGGACTAGCCTTCTGAAACTGAACTCAAGCCCCAATAAACCCCTTTATCTATAAATTGCCTTGGTCATGGTGTGTCTTCTTGGCAATAGTAAACTAAGACAGTAACACTAAATCTAAGTGCCTCAAATGATACAACTTGAGTCTGGAACCCTGAATAGGAGTGGTGAGAGAATGAAGAAAGGGCAATGAGATGGGAGTTTTGGTTTCTTTAAAAACCCAGTTATGTTATGTGAATATGCTTTTGTTTTAATCCCAGGTGTGGGATAAGAGGCTGCTTCACAGCAGGTGATTATGATTTACCTCATGCACTAGCAGGGACATGATCTTTGCCAGCTGCAGATAACTTAAATCTGAGGACTCTGGAAAGGGTGTAAGTGCGAGAACTCCGAGAGGGCCTATGGTGGCTTTTGCTCCCTCTGAAGCAGCCCCTCCCCACCCCTGTGCCAATGCTGCTGGTTCATCTTCCTGTGTTTGCTGCTGAGGTTTGTCAAGTAAACGAGGTAGAAGAAATTGGCTATCCTGATGGTGAAGATCAACACTGCCCCAAGGAACTCAATGTCCCTAATCATTGAGAAGTAGTTTAAAGAGGTCTATGCCCCCTTTCCCCTCTGACCTTCTTTCTTACCCACCTAGTAAAGGAATAAGGGTTGAAAGGGTGGTAGATAAAAGAACCCAAGTAAAAGAGATTTTTAAATATGTCTATAGGACAGACACCCAGATATATGTACAGAAAAGCTGGAGCTGTTGGGCTGCGTACTGATGAAGCCACACCTAAGACTGCTGTATCTGGGAACCTCAGTGAGTTCATTATGTACAGCACAGTGGAAGGAGTTGTGGTATGGCAGTTTAATTCCAAGTTTGAAACATTCTATGCTGGCTCAGTGGTTAAGAGCACTGGCTGCTCTTCCAGAGAACCCAGGTTCAATTTTCTAGCACACACAGGGCAGCTCACAACTGTCTGTGACTCCTGTTCCAGGGACTCTGACACCTTCACATAGATATACATGCAGGCAAACCACCACTGCACATAAGATAAAAATAATTAAAAAAAAACAAAAAAAGAAAGAAAGAAAGATTCCACCCGACATGGAAGCTTCTTGAGACAGAAGGTAAACAACTCAAAATAGTTCTGGAAGCCCCTGAAACTGACAAGATTCACTAGACCCTTCCTCTTAAGAGAAAACAACGAAGATCACAAAGAGTCACTCCCAGACGAGCCCAGCTGCAGGGAAGACTCTGGGAGCTGAAACCAGCTGAGCCACCTGGAACAGGGTTAGATCAACAGCAGCACCTGAAAGGACACTCTTCCAGTCTGCTGAGCTGCCTGCTGACTGTGCAGTGCACGGCAGGGCCCAGCCTTTGTGAGCTGTCACTCAGGCTGGGGTGGAACTGTTGTTGGTGGAACTGTCTTTCAGTCATCTCTGCTCCAGAAGTAATCCACCACCCATATCCCCGTTAGTAACCTCAATAAAACTCACTGGCTCACCAAGCTGGACTTTAGTGATAATTGTACTTTGGCCTGTGTGGGCTCCCTGTCTGGGGTGAGTAGATGTGTGTACCATTTTCCCAGGAAAAGTCTTGTCACTCAGCTGTTGGCTAGTCTTCCCAGATCTCTGTAGGCCAGCACTCTCAGGCTGTACACATTCAGGAATAAACTGCCATTGCAGTTTTCATATACACTGATTCATCTTTACTTATTTAGGGCTTCATCTGCTCCTTACACCTAAGTAGCCTCTGGTCTGTTAGTTTGATTTGAATTATTAATACCATCCTACCGACTCCTACATAACTTGTGTAAGAATTGCCAAAGCTGGGGTTCTATTTGGCTAGGTGAAGATGACAGCTCATGTGACTGTCTTCATTTGCTTTCTATTGCTCTGACAAAATACCATGATCAGAAGGAACTGGCTTACTTAGCTTTCATATCATAGTCCATCGATGGGAGTGAGGGCAGGAACCTGGAATAACTCCAATTAGCTCCTCACAGATTTTCCAGCCTTTCTCATAGTCCCTGCCTAGGGGTGGACCTAGCCACATTGGCTTTTTCATAACTCATGGAATCAGCTGTGACAATCCCCAATCAGTTTATATCATTTCAAACCTATTTTCAAATCATAAGCAAAGATTTCTACACTGAAATCTACACTTGTAGATTTCACCTGTGGGTCTATGAGATTTTTCCTTCAGTGTGTTTCCATATCTGCTGGCATTGAAAGGACAAAACACACTGGTGGGTTTTCTCCAAATTATTTTTTGAAGAATTGTTTTCCCAACAATTCTTTTTTATCATGACAAAAAATGAAATCTTATGTGTATTCAATAGTAAATAGGTAAATTTTAATTTTCATTTCCATTTGAAGAGTTATAGTTCATATAAATGTTCACAAATGGTTTTTTTTTTCAGTATAAAAAAAGTTGCCTTGATTGCATATAGCCACATAATTCGAATTTCTTGTAAGATAGTTAAATGCCATATTGAAATCTAATCTCTAGGTTACAGTCCTGGAGAAGTGGAGGAATGTCATCCACCCTGTGTTTTGGATTTTGTTGTACCATACACTGAAATCAGTAAGCCAAGGAATCAATATGGTACATTTGGAGGTAGTATCATTATGGTTTAGTTTTTGTTAATTTTATTATACCCTTTTTCTGTGTATATGTAGAGAAGCTGTAGAAATTATACATTTAATTAAATTTAACACCACATATTTTATAAAAGGCCTATTAATTTAAGATTGTCAATGCACCGATGTTTGCTGTAAATAGAATTACATGAGTTTTATTTTTCTGATATTAAAAGTTACTTAATAAAGTTATTTCTGTAAAGTTGAGGGAAAAACAGACTGGTGTGGGAGTTGGGCATGATGCTGAATGCTTGAAATTTTAGCACTTGCCAGGCGGAGGCAGGAAGATCAGGAGTTCAAGGTTAGCTTACTTTACATACTGTCAAACCTCAATGAAAAAACAAACTGCTCAAAGTCTTGGCGGTAAGGAGGGTCGTCGTGGGTGAAGAAGGGCAGGAAGTTTTTTCTCCGATGATGCATGTTGATTAACCTGTCCTTTGGGGGCTTTTTGGGGAGGGGTGGGGACAGACACAAGTTCAGGTCAAGTGTTTTTTGCTTTGTTTTGTGAGCCATTCCCAAGCCTCAACTTGTGTTTGCTTGTATTCAGTGGGCAGACTTGGGGAACCCTGCCAGGTCACAGCCTATTTTCTTACTTGGCTCTGGTAGAATGTACATGCTCAAGTCATTAAAAAAATAAAAGATTATTTATTATGTACACAGTGTTCTGCTTGCATATATGCCTGCATGCCACAAGAGGTCACCAGATCTCACTATAGATGGTTATGAACCACCATGAGGTTGCGGGGAATTGAACTCAGGACTTCTGGAAGAACAAACAGTGCTCTTAACCTATGAGCCATGTCTCCAGCCCCTTGCTCCCACCATTTAATGCATATATGCACCCCTTCTTTGTCATGATTGTACCTCCTGTGCCTCTTTTGAAGTTCAACCTAAGTCACGACAGAAGGGCATTGAAAATTTGGGGGACACGCGGAAGATAAGCTCATTTACCGAAGCTTTTCAATAGCACTGAGGACGAATTATAGAAAAAGCAACCACTCCGTTGAAAAATCGAGAAAATCTTGCAGAAAATCGAGGTTCGACTCCCAGAACCCTTATATCTGCCCACAGGCTCACAACAATCCACAACTGCAGTTCCAGGGGGATCCAACGCACTCTCTGGGCTTTCATAAGGCACCAGGCACCCACGCGGGTGCACTGACACACAAGCAGGGCAAATATTCATACACATAAGATAAAGTGAACGAATCTTTTAAAAAGAAAGTCTCCTTAGTGAATTTCCAACTCTGCCTCTTCATATACTGGCTAGTCCTGGCATTCTTTTCCTCATCCGGCCTTCGCCTGAGTTGTTCTCCCCCAAATCACGGAAAACTCCGGAGGCTGGTTGAGCCTGGCAGTGTGAAGCCGTGTCTCCATCCTCTTCCAGCCAACAAATCAACCCACCGGCTCGACGGCTGGAGCCCACCAAGCAGATGCCAGCTTCTTTTGCTGCTGTGAGCGGAGCAGCAAGCAGCAGGCGGGGCTCGGGAGACTTCGGGACAGGCAGGGCAGACCCAGCAGGGCCGGATCCAAGACAGCCAGCGGGAGGAGGGAGGAGCGCCGGGAGGAAGAGGCCGAGCCGTGGAGCACCGCCCCGGAGGAAGGGGAGGAGGCCGGGTGTTTCCTGGTGCATTCCCGGCCCGCCCAAGTGACTCACTGGGGTGGGAAGGCGTTCGGGGCCCGCCCTGGACACCCGAAGGCGGCGCAGACCAGGTAAGGGCGGTCGCCTGGCCGCGGGGTCCCCGCTCCCCTCCTAGCCCGGTGGGGCGAGCCTGCAGACGGTCTCGGCACAGCCTCGGGACCCCACGGCCTCCCGGGATTGCCTGCTGGGCTCTCGAGTCTCCCGGTCTCTGCTGCCCAGCTCGCGAGCTCGGGACTCCCGGCCCAGCCCGGCGGTTCCAGGGCTCCCTCCCCGGAGTCACATTCCAGAATCCTCGGGCCGCGGGCTCCCCAGGGCTGATGCCCCATTCCCTTGGCGGTGCGCAGCCTGCACTCCGGTGACCCGGCCCCCGAGTCCTGAACCCCCGAACTCCCGCCCGCCCCGGCTCACCCCTGGATCCTTGGATCCCAGATTTCGCGCTTCCGGCACGAGGTTTAGCTCCAAAGAGGAAGAGACAACGTTAGTGTTTACTATTTTACTGTTGAAGAGTAGGAGCAGACGGGTAAATGTTGCACGAAAGTGGGAAGACAAACCCTAGTCCTCCATGGTTCTGCCTTCGGAGGGAAGGAAGGAGGAGAGGGCAGTCCAGGGAAATCGTCTCAGAATCTTGGAGAGAGGCAGTTTGCGCTTTGTTAAGGAAACTGGATTGTTCAGGAGCAATGGTGCGCCGCCGCGCATTCATAACGAATTTTATACTTTAAACCCAATGCGTCTGCTTAATTTGCAGCGCTTTGTGAGTATTTTGAGAAAAGAAGGAGATTTGCCAGTGGGGTTTGGCAAAGGGAGGCATCAGGCAGTCCGTGTGTTACCTGGGACGGTACAGATTGCCTAGAGGAGTAGTGTTTGAAGCAGCAGCGGTTCCTGGGTACTCCTGGAGGTAGTAACTGAGAGCTCCTAGATCCTGGCTGGCCAAGTTCATTGGCTGGAAGTTGAAGCACTCCAAACTGGTGGTATCCCTGAATACCTGCACTCCCCCCTTGACCCGAGGATGTTATGGTTTTTAATAAAAAGCCTGGATCTATAGGCGCAGAACCTGAAAGAGTTAATCCGGTCTTTAAATAAATGTAAACGACTGCAGACATGCATTGTAAGAATTCAGTAGGAATGTTTTGGGGAATGATTCTCTGTTGCCCTCTTTCCGGAACAGCATACTCACTGTGACACTGGTCAAATATTGCATTTGAAAAGTCCCTCTAAGAAAACAAATCCACCAAGTGTTTGTGATTTGAGGAAGTGTGTATTGAGTTTTTTTACATTTTTTTTATAAGCATTCTATGTGTGTGCACAGCTGTGTTAATGTGTTTGCTTGTACATGTAGAGGTCGAAGGCTGATTGGAGTTTTCTTTGTTTTCCACCTTATTCTTTGCTACAAGGTCTCTCAGCTGAACCCAGAGTTCACGGATTGGACTAGCCTTGTGAGCCAGTTTGCTCCAGAGATCCCTATCTCTGCCTTGGACGCACTGAAATGCCAGGGAGGCCGCCATACCCATTGGCATTTATGTGGATTTTGGAGGGACTGAACTCCTGTACTTACATTTGTGTGGCAGATGGTTATCCACTGAGCCATCTCCCTGGCACTTAAGCGATTTTTAACTTTACATATAGTAAAATTCATGCTTTGGAGTGGTGCCTGCCGCTGTAACCAAGATGCAAAACCAGTTCTTATCGACAAAAAATTTTCTTTCCTGTGTCCCTTGTAGTTAGACTTTTCCTGCTATCAACTCTTGTCAACCACTGATCTTTTCATTATACTATTTTGCTTTCTCCAGAAAGACCTATGGTAATCTTTGAATCTGCATTTGAGATGGTACTATGCTGTCAGCAAAAAGTATGGGGGCGTTGGGGAGGGGGGTGCTACATTGAAGGCCCTCCAAGGTCTTTTACCAGCCAAACACCATTAAGTTAAAACGTATGATAACATACGTAGTATTTGTGTTACAAAAACCCTACTCAAATATGTCTGTGAGCAGTAAAGTCAATGCTTTGAAAAGCAGAGCCTTGGGAAGGTGAGACAGGAGTTAATAGGCTACTAATGTGTGAGCTGGGAATTGACTTCTGAAAGTCTCTAAACTGGGGCACCATCTCTAAACATACTCCACCCACCCATCCCCTTTAAGATAGGTTGTTTTTTTTTAAGATTTATTTATTATTTATACAACATTCTGCCTGCACACCAGATCTTACTATAGATGGTTATGAGCCACCATGTGGTTGCTGAGACCTTTGGAAGAACAGCGAGTGTTCTCAACCTCTGAGCCCTCTTCTGGCCTCAACCCAAGACAGGATTTTATTATGTATTCAGACGAACTTGAACTCATGGCTCTTCTACAGTAGCTTTTTGTGTGTAGGGAGGAGAAGGGGGTTGAGATTTCCTCTCATGAAGCCTTGAACATCATCCTTTTTCTTTATCTCAGCCTCTTGAGTGCTGAGATTTACAGAAATAAGTTACAACGTTACAATTGTATTTTGGAAGGTGAAAATTTACAAGACTCTACCTCAATAATTTTTAAATAGCTTAGAACTATATACAACTATATTTGTACTGAAAGTGGCATTCTGCTCAAGGGGGTTTCTATAACACATGTTTTCACTCAATGATGCTCAGCTGGTTAACCATCTTGGCAATCCTGAAATGCTGCTATATATGAAGAGACCAGTCATTCTTTTAACCGGGTGTATCATACAGTGATGTGTAGCAGAACTATAGGGATATGTTCTAATGTGTATCTACACAATTCCATCACTGCATCAGAGTGTAAGTAGATGAGTGAAAATAGTCATGGATATGAATTACGTGATACAGTGCTAGGAGTGCCATGGTCACTGACGGAACATTGGCAGGCAATGTACAGCGTGTGTATGTATTATAATGTATTTGATCAGTCTTCTGGGTGTTTTGCTGACATTAGTGTCTGGGTACCACGCATGTACCCAGTGCTAGAAGATTCCAGAAGAGGATATTGGATCCCTCCAAACAGAAGTTACAGATGGTTATGAGCTGCCATGTGGGTGCTTGAAATTGAACCTGGGTCCTCTGGAGCCAGTGCTCTTAATCACTGAGCCATCTCTTCGGCCCCTGACACTGTTTTTAACATTTATCTCCATTACAGTTGATACATGTGTCTATATCCTTTGTGCATGCTCAAATTCATCATTCTGAAGGTATCTCACTGTTGTATTGATGTGAAGAGACACCTCGACAAAGGCAATTCTTCTAAGAGAAACCTTTAAATTGGGGGCTTATGTTCATTTTCCGAGGTTTATCCCACTGTCATGGCAGGAACATTGTGGCAGGCATGGCACTGGAGCAGTAGCCGAGAGCTACATCCTCATCCACAGGCGGAGACACAGACTGAGTCTGGCGTGGGCTTTTGAAACCTCAGAGGCCAGCCTCAGTGACACATTTCCTCCATCTGGGCTACGCCTGGGAATTCTTCTAATTCAGCAGTTCTTAGCCTGTGGATTGTGATCCCTTTGGGGGTCAAGTGACCCTTTCACAGGGTTTGCCTAAGACCGTCAGAAATATTTACACTATGATTCTTAACAGTAGAAAAATTACAGTTTATAAAGTTGTAATGAAAATAATTTTGTGGTTAGGGTCACAACATGAGGAACTTTATTAAAGGGTCATAGCATTAGTTAAGTTGAGAACCACTGTTCTAATCCTTCTCAAATACTGCCACTCCCAGATGGCTGAGCATTCAAATCGAGGGGCCTGTGGGGACCATTCTTATTCAAGCCAGCACAGAAAGAAAATTGTGCTCACTTTCTTACTACTTCCTATGTTTGGGCATCCTTTAGCTTAGTGTTTCTTTTTCTGTAAAGGTGAAGATTATCAATAACTGTGGATTTGTGGGCTTTCTTGTTTATGTGCTATATAGCATTGGAGCAGCATTAGAGTGGATGTGGCTGGTTGACTGGAAAATTACTTACATAAAAAGACAAGCTTGCAGGCCGAGCTGGGGCATGCCTTTAATCCCAGCCCTCAGGGAGGCAGAGGCAGGCAGAGGCAGGCAGATCTCTTGTGAGTTTGAGGCCAACTTGGTCTATGAAGGGAGTCCAGGACAGCCAAGACTACACAGAGGAACCCTTCTACAAACAAACAAACAAACAAACAAACAAACAAACAAACCAACGGTCCTGTAGTTTGCAGACCTCTCAGATCATATATTAACTATTCTCACAGTTCCTCAAGAACTGGATGAAGAGTCAGCAGATGAAGTAGGAGTCCAAGATCATGTGGAAAGCCAGGTGTTGAATTCACCCATTAGATCCTTAAGCCTGAGAGTTTAAAAATTAGAAAGAAGGTGCAAAATACTGTCCTCCAAATGTTAGACCCTCAGGCCTCTGTGGAATTAGCATAACAGCAGGGTACCTTCTTCACTCTAGCTATCCTCCAAGTCCCTCTCATTGGCATCTGTGAAATCACTGTTTTTGATTTGCCTCACTTAGCAGCAACTGCAGAGAAATGAATTAGGGTTGTATTCTTCTAGAGTATATATATGTTATGAAAGGGGATTTATTAAACTGGCATGCAGTAGTAACTGCATGCTATTTTTTTTTTTAAATCATGTTTTACATCCTGCAACTTTGTGAAAATAAGGAACAAGACAGGAGCCTACCACAGAAGGCCTCTGAAAGACTTTATCCAGCAGGGTATTAAAGCAGATGCTGAGACTCATAGCCAAACTTTGGGTAGAATACAGGGAATCTTATGAAAGAAGGGGGAGACAGAAAGATCTGAAAGTGTCTGGAGCTCCACAAGGAGAGCAACAGAACCAAACAATCTGGGCCAGGGGTCTTTTCTGAACTGAGACTCCAACCAAGGACCATTCATGGAGATAACCTAGACCCCCTGCACAGAGGTAGCCCAGGGCAGCTCAGTCTCCAAGTGGGTTTCCTAGTAATGGGAACAGGGACTGTCTCTGACATGAACTCAGTAGCTGGCTCTTTGATCACCTCCCCCTAATGGGGGAGCAGCCTCACCAGGCTACAGAGGAAGACTATGAAAGACAGTCCTGATGAGATCTGATAGGCTAGGGTCAGATGGTAA